ATGATGCAAATTCGGTCGTTTCATTTCTGGGCTACACACAAAGGCCAATTACCATATACAAGAGCCAGGGTCTGCCTTCTTTCACCGTGTTCGCTCGAGCGTGGGCCAAGAATAATAGCTGAAAAGCGGGCTGAGGATCTCAATTTTTACGCCGTGTCTTAACCCGTCCCGGCGTGAAGGGGTTAACTTGTTTGAATTCAGTGGTATACAGACCAGTTCATACTTAGTGTGTTATCAAACTCAAATTCATGTGGTTCATTTCACATCGTTTCAAGTTTGGGCTCATAACAAAAGTTTAATGCATTCCAAGGCCTGTGCATTTTTCCAAGGATGTTTCATCCCTTTTAGTCTTGTGATGTCTGAACCAACAAATGTGAAGTCTTGTTAAGGGAACTTTCAGCAGGGGACCCGCCTAATACGTGCCTTACACCAGAGTCCCAAATGTGTACAGAGGGTACAAGTTGGACACCCCTGCACTAGACAATTTCACAGACCTGCTGATTAGCTCAGGAAAATTTCACTAAGAAAAACAGCTGACAGGCCAAAATGTCATGCATTTCACTGGTTCCCAGTTAATTTCTGCTTAGCACATAACTTAGCTCATCAAATTTGTCTATTCAGCAGCTTTGAGAATTTGGTCCTACCTGGCAGGTTTTAAAGCCACCACTGGCAAAATAAGTTTAGCTGAAAGAAGTTTCCACTCCTTTCTTTACAAGAATAGAAATCCGGTGTTGATGGAATGAGTGGCCCCTACCTTGTCAAAGTTCTCATCCCAGTGCGCGTTGGTTATCACGTAAGATACCTCATCAGTCATGTAATCCTCCACAGTCCTGGGAAGAATTTCAACATCACAAATGACTTCAATTTTTTCAATTTCAGCCAGTTAACTAAATTTGACTGAATGATGAAGTCATCTGTGGTTAACGTGCAACGTTTTTCGCCTTCTACCTCTGTGACTGAGTTTCAAAGCCCACCCAGGCTGACATGTAGATTCGGTTTTCTGTCCATAGATTTCTTATGGAATATATCATCCTTCCGGTCCTAACCCTAAAACTGAATAAGTTCTTACTGTCGTCTTGAGATTGTTTGGAAGCTTTTGAGCCAGAATAATTGTGCACTATCGGGGAAGCCCTGATTCCATTAACAGAAAAAGATTAAATAAACAACTTACAATCTGAGCTAATGTACGGGGTTTTCTGTAGTAGTCGTTCTCAGGATAGATACTCAAAAACACTGTGACATCTTCCTCTTCAGAGAGATGGGGGATATCATATCGCAAGGGCTCAAAGATTCATACCAAGTTACTCGAAATGAGTCTTGTCTCCAAGTAAAGTCACACGCTATTCAAATGAGGAAGACAACTCTCAACTGATTCTGCTTGCAGCTCCACCCGTGATTGGTGGCATACCCACCAGGGGTGGGGGAGAGATTCGCCCTCCTGTCAATAGCCCCAACTACACCGAGTTGTTTTATTTAAGCTTCTTCTTTATTGCGTAAGACTTAAGTTTTTAACTTATAATTCTTGTTGGCATGCAGCCTGTCGGTGTAGAAAGAACGTAATCAGATGCAAGTCCTCCATCTGAATGATTGCTCCAAACATGTTGCATTAAGCTCCTTGGTATTTCTTTTATTTAGTTTCCTTTGTGAAGTAGACCCATATAAGGCTTAGATTGCCAGGATTTACTAGAGTGCCACATTAACACGGTGGGGAGTGCTTGACAAGCTTCCAATACAGTGACCTGGACCTGATACTAGCCGAGACAGCGCTGAAGGCCAAAACGTTTCGCGAAGACTACCTCCAGCTAACGGCCTAGCACACTGTCAAGCACACCCACCATTATATGTGTCAATGTATAGCTAAAACTGTGCTACTACTTCCTCAAATTGGCTGATTTAGTTTTAATGACCCAAATACAATAATACACAGGGAAAGGCAGGTCCGTGGTCGTCCTATCCCTAAGTGTCCTTCAACTGTAAGACAAAGCAATGAAAATGGAGTGCTGGCAAACGGCCAACTTATCCTGTGGTCTAACTTACCCGTCAAAAGTAACGATGAGCCTTGTGATCTGTCTCCTGTCTTCAGCATCAAATTTGCCGTACAGGAAGAAGATCTTGTTGGTGAAGAAATCCGGCAGGTCGGGGATGTCTGGCAAGGAAGGGGCGGCACTCTCTGGCTTGCCCGCTGTTGGAATGTCTACCTCTTCGTCCGTGGAGCTGTCGTAGTTGTCTTTGGCAGTCACTTTTCCCTCACATCCCTTTTCCTGTATCCTAGGACAAGTTTGACCCAAATCAAGCAATTGGTCAATCAGGCACGTCTCAGACGAAGCCCCACATGGAGACGAAGCAAAGAGTTGGAAAGAAGCCGTCATCTACATCTGACCTACCTCCTCAGTTCATCCTCTGTGTCTCCTCCTGATGACATCTCATCCTGTTGCCTGGACGACGCGGTAATGGTAACCTCCTCTGCATCGCTGTCAATGTCGGTCGTGCTGCAATTGTCGTCCTCCTTTGCATCAGGCTCCGAGGGTTTAGCCTGTCATGAAAGTTCAGACAACTTTTATCATGGGTGTAGGAACAGGTGATATTAAAGGGGAGAGAAGTGTAGCGTTTAGGGTTTGTAACCTGCCTTGTCTGGCTTAATGTGTCCTTAGCGAAGTCATCTCACCTCCCTCGGTACCCCAGTAATTCCAGAAATAAGGGGTCCAAAAATGCGACATTTTTCTGTCTCTGTTACATCTTACATGTACCTTTGTTATCTGACATAGAAATATCACCGTAATTTATTTCAAACAATTTCTATTTGTTTGGCAGGTTATTTGCATTCATTCATCACTCTTGGAAATTAGAAAATGTTTTCTGAACTTTACAAAATCACATCTCAGATAAGACAGGGACACACACAAAAAAACCCCTCATTTCTGGAATGACCCCACCCATAGTTTGCTAACTGCAAGAAATTTAAAAGGGGGGAAGGAAGCCAGGAGACTGGACATCATGTGACACTAGGGGGTGCTTTTCCTGGTTCACCAGGAGTACCATTGATGAAGAACAAATACGTAAGGGTGTGGAATTGATCAGCTAATGACCAGAGTGAAACCATCATCAAAACAATTCAGAGACAGACTGAGGGTAAGTAACAGGAGATAAGATAATGGTACATGTATTTGTGTCCATGAGCAAGCCACTTGGCAACAAGTCCCTCCTCCGAAAGTGCTCTTTGACAAGGCTGTGCACTGAAGCACTTCTCATTGCAGAGGTTTTTCATCAAATTTCTACATTAAGCCGTGACGGACGGGTAAGCATTCCAAGGGGCTGTGATGGATGAAGGAATAGAGCAGAGCATGGGAAATAGCAAGTGTTCTCTGTTCTGAGCACAATTTTGTTTGTCTCTGGTTATGACTGTTTGAATTTTTGTAGAAATCTCTCACCTGTTGAGGAGACCCTGATGCACCCTGACCTACGCCATCGCCATCCTCTGCATCTCTGGTTGTAGCTTTCTTGGGCGTGGCCTTCTTGGGCATGGCCTTCCTAGGCGTGGCATTTTTGGGCATGGCTTTTGTGGGTGTGGCTTTCTGAGGAGATGGCTTCCTTCTCTTGGTTGGTTCCCAGTCATCCTCCTCATCCGTTTCGCTTTCTTCCTCGTAGCTTGAGCTCTCGTCACTATCCGATAGCATACTGTACCTATAACACATATATCATAAAGCAATTGAAACACTGTGCATTTTTAAAGTCCTATCCTATTCCATTATTCATCTAATACTTACCAAAAAGCTTTGGAACAAACATATATTTTAAAGCCAACAGGGTACTCTTCATATTTTGAGACTTCTGGAACCCTTCAAAAATTGGGTGTTTAGTCTATTTGTTTAGTTGTTGGAATGTATCTAGATGGTCCACAAATACTTTGGTAATGCACAAGAACGCCAAAATATCGACCTCAAGATGACGCCTGGTTTGTGCCCATTTTCTTGTCTTGTGGATGTGTGTTTGTAGGTCCATCGGTTATTAATAGTCTGTCAGTCCAGTTGCTTTGTCTACAAATCTTTAGTGTCATTCCTCCAAGCTATCGACATGTCAACATCCAGTGCTTTGTGTAGATGTCTGTCAGTCAGTCGGGCAATCTGTCTGTCTACCTGTTTGTTCACGAGTCTTGTCACCCACCTCCTCCAAGGCTGCACTGACTTCTTCTTGTAGGAGTCCAGGATCCAGGCCTTGGTGACTATCTTCCCCTTGTTCTTTACCTGGTTGAACTTTGGCGTGTTGGCAAAGGCACAGCTAGAGAAAAAAAAGCCGTAGCCGTATTTAAACTCAGCGCTGGAAACCTTAACTTGAATGGTTTTTCCAGTGCCAATTGTCTGTGGGCACTCCTACTTTCAGGGGTGTGCAGCCCTGTGGTTCAGGTTGGTGAACTGTGATCAGAGTGTCTGGGGTAGAATCCACCTGTTGTGATATGTTGTGTCCTTAGGCAAGCTGATTTACCTAACTTGCCTCTTTGCAAGTAGAGCATGAGGGGCTTTGCCACCCACCGAAGAGTAAGGGGAGAATGCAACTCCAAGTTCATTACCAGGATAAACAGGTTCCTTTTGGAATACCTCCGGGGAAGACCTAAGGTAGCCCTTATATAATTGTTCTTATTCTCTACTACCTGCAGACCTGTGATGGAATTTCAACCCCTCTCATGTGATCAGAAACATTCTTGGTCTTTGCATGTTGAGCAAGCCAAAACAAAATAAGCCTGTGGAGCTAAGCTGGCTCGAGACCGACTTTACTGCAATGGTCGAGCTTGGCATCGGAAGGCTACTCACACAAGATGCGTGCATCCGGATCCCCAGTCTGGCCGGTACTTGGCGCCCATCTCCAGGGCCTTTTCCCTGAGGTCGCCTCGGAGTGGGTTCTGGAAACCGCTCAGGACGAATGTCACCCCTTCCATCTGCCTCTCGAAGGACTTGGACTTGGTTGTCTGCCTTGATGATTCCTCTAGAGTAGAAATGAATCTCTCGGTCAAAGAGAATGGACTCAAATAGGTCAATTCAATTATCACAAAAAGGGGAAGCAGAAACAGACAAATAGGGACAAGAAAAGTTTACCAACTCTCCTCTGCAAATACCTATATTGGACTTGAGATGGACCAAGAGAGGGCCCTATTTTCTCAGCAACGGAGGCTCCTTTGGTCTGAACTGAACTTCGCTGATTCCCAAACGAGTAGGAAATGCACACATCACAATCGCACGGCTACCAACAAATTGAATGCTCCCAACCAACACGGCTCTTTTCAACCGATGATGGGGTGCTTCTACTCGAGGCGGATTGGACAAAGATGTCTTATCCGTGTCTACATTATTGGCAGTCTCTGACCGTTTGCTTTACTTAACAGAGCCCTGTGCGTACAATTCAAAGCCTATACCGCTCCCAAAGGAGTGAATCTCAGTAAATCACAGCCTTTACTGCAAAATGTGAGGATTAATTAAAGACAGATCCTGGCAGAACTACCGGGTTTACTAAAGTGACCTACATGGAGAGCATTGCTTTGCAGTTTCAGAGATGAGTATAACACTGTCGGGCAAAGGGCTAACCCTAACAGTTATCAATGCTTCAACAGGTGAAAGATTGTGGACTATGTTAATGGTCTTCTGTACACTACTCACCTCTGCTCTTCTTTGGGGGTGGGGCTTTACTCCTCCCTTCCTCTCTATCTGCATCATCTCGCCTTGCGGCCGCTACCTTCGTGTCAACTCGTTTGGGGGGTGCCACGTCTTCGTCCGACAGTCTCCTCTTCTGGGTCACCTTCTGAGATGCGTCAGTCCTGGTGTCGCTCTGTTTGTGTGGGGCAGTGGAGGGGATTGTCTTTGGTGGTCCCTGCTGGGTCTGGAGGTGAGGGAAATGCAACATTGCTGATGAAGCATAAATACGTGATCAAAAAACTTTCTTCTTCTCATTTGTACTGAAACGGAAAATCCAGAACGACAAAGTAGTACTTTGTCAACTGTTATTTTGGCTGGTGGCATTAGTGCACAACTTGAGCAAACCTAAGATATTGAAGACTTATTTGCTTGGCTGTGTTGCACAAGGTACCTGACTCGGTGCTACTGATGCAGTGGCCGCTTGTGATGTTGTGGCTGAGGCTGTTAATGACGTCGCTGCTAACGTTGCTGCTGCACGGACTGCTGCAGCACCTGCAGGAACAGGAGGGAGACGGATCGCAATTTGTCTGTGTTCACTAGAACCAAAGCGAGGCTGCACTTGCGGACAAAAAACTGCAGGCTTGCCAGTTCAGCCGGCCATCCAACCAAACCATGCAAAGGACCTTTGGACTGCAAGCCCCTCATGCATGTGGACAAAGTCCCCAAACTTGGCCCTCTTGGACTGCCCTGTTCTGGGTGACAAACATTTTGTCGTCTCTCTACCTAGCCTTTCCACCCACCCTGATTGTGCCAGTGGAAAGGGAAAGTAATTTTTATTTGCCTCAGACGCTTGCCTTAAAAATCAATGCTCATACTGTTGGTCCACCCACACCTATTATTCCTCGTGAAGATTGTCTTACAAAGAAGAACGTCTGTCATATCTGTGGAAACTTGCACATCTTCCAAAATCTGCAAACTATTTGAGAGAAATGATAGTGGAGACGTTTTCAACTGCAATCCCCAAGGGCGTAAAAAAATTGAAGTGAAATGAACCGGATGGGTTTTTCAATATAGCCCATGCTTGAAATGAAACATGTCACAGGCTATTCAAAGACACCAATATGGACGCATGGGTCAGCCCTTTCAGGGCCACTGTCTGTTCAACTCCCACGTACCGATTATGCCTGAGATGGAGCGAGTGCTCTGTTCTTGAATGACCTTGTCTTTTGGAAACACCAACCTGACTCGCTGGAGGACTGCGGAGATTTAGGGTGACACTGGATCTCATTATCAAAAAATCAATCACCACGCTGACCTGTTAGGGGTGCCGGATCTGCCTTGGTGATGCTTCTCTGTTTGAAGAAAGCTCCTGGGGTGATGGAGGCCGTCTTGGGGTCTTCCTTCAGTTTGAACTTGCCGAGTCTGGAGGTCGCCTGATGATTAAAGAAAATCGGCACCAACAGGACATCAACTCTACTGTGACATATGTCTACCATGATACTTGACAGTTTCATGGGAAAAGTGACATGAATCACTAAAATGTATTCAATGTCACAATGCCAGAGCCGCACTTAAAACTTAGAAAAAATAAGAAGAGAGAACAACCACAAAAAGATTTTAAAACTTTCCTGAAATCATTTTGCCCAAATGATTCACAAATTAAAAGAGCCAAAATGTTGACTGCGGTATCTAGATTAAATGTTCCTGGTTATCTCAGGAATTTTAAAATTTATCCACAGGCCTTGGTTCATCAACCCTGATCCTGACTACCTGTATTAAGCTGCTCAAATCAGCACGAGAGTGATCAACTGTCAAGTATGAAACAACTGGAGCTAGACCCATAACACAGTTGGTTCACTGTTCCAACCTGTCATTTGTCTTGCATTTTTGGCTGGGGGGGGGAATTATAGTGCACTTACCTGAGACTGTTGGCTGGCTGCCGTACTGGATTCATCTTCCTCCGTCGGCGGGGAGTGAAACTTAATGAAAGACAAGCCATATGAAATAAACTGAAAAAAAAAGAAAGAAAACACCTGGTTTATGTCTAAAGTAATATCAAAAAGAAAGTTCCCATTGCAGACCGATTTGCTGACACCATTACTACGGTGTCCCCGCAACCAAGGCAACCATTCCTACTGACGAGCGCGTGATTTTGGTTAGCAGTGTGCTCCCATTGGCTGATGAGGAAGCATTCAATGCGCATCACTTTGGTTCTCGTGCGAGGGGACACCGCATCAATGGCTCTTGATTCTGGTTAGCAGTGCGCTCCCATTAGCTGATGAGAAAGCATTCAATGCACATCACTTTGGTTGTCGTGTGTGGGGACACCGCAGTAATGGCTCTTGATTTTGGTTAGCAGGGCGCTCCCATTGCGCTCCCAGGCAGTTGGACACCGTCTTCTAATGAAAGGAAAATTCGTCTAATTAAGATAGACTTCTACTATGGACCCAACGACAATTTCAAACATGGCAGGCACACGTGAGGCAAGAAATCGGTTCAAGCTCAGTTGGTAGGGTAGCAAGACATATCACCATGGTCTAAGGTGCACATCTTATTTCTAGACGAAGTTCTGTTCACCTTGTTGAAGGGCTGGGAACAGACGACTTTCACCCGGTCCCACTTTTTGTCCATGGCAGCCTTGGAGAGCTTGTCCGGTCCAAACATGCGGACGCGGTTGGTGTTGGTGCCGTTCTTGCTCTCCATGGGACTCATGAAGGACGACGTCACCAGGATGACCTATGCATTGCAAAGGAATCACAGAGGGTTTCAATGTGCTTTCTAGCCCACCACTGCAACCTCACACGTATGCGCATGAAGCCATTTTGTGTCCAGCCAAACTGCGACACTGATACATAGATACATGTACATCTACTCAAAGCCATTTTGGATCCAGCATGTGAACCTGGTAAAACAGACAAACAAGCTGTCGATAGGTTGGACCACTGAGAATTCAGCTCTTGATCATAAATACATATGAAGTCAAATGATAGGAAATTGTCCAATTAGGTCACATAGTAGAGCTACTTGTAAAGTGTAACTCCCGGTCTGGACAGTTGGCGAACCTACACCCGTACGAGGCACTTTGTGTGAATCAAGACCTAATCTGTCATCCAGTTAAAAAAAAAATCTATTTTCAACAGAAACAAAAAACATTTGAGAGTCAGAGACTCAGAATTTATGACTTCAATTGGCTTATCTTCTGCAAAAGATGAAAAGAGAAAAGATGCAGCCATTTGCATCCGATTGGCCAGTTCTCCTGAAGTGGTCCCTAGGCATTACCCACTTCACATCTTGTTAACTCAGAGTTACGAACGGCTTCATTTTAATACACATTGTTAATAGGTGTCTATCCCTAACCCGAAGGTCCTACCTGATAGTCATCGAGAGCGGTGGAGGTGGAGTGACCAACCAACACCTCCACAAATGCCGAGCTTTCATTGCCAACATCAATAGAATGGATCTGCGAGGCTTTCTCAAACTGAAATCAAAGAAAAAGATACCACGTAAGAGTCACATCTAAAGATGCTGTAAAAATGTTAAAGTTAACCCCAACGGGAGGCGGCTACAGCCATTGTAAAAATTGAGATCCTTAGCCCGCTTTTCAGCTATTATTCCTGGCCCACGCTCGAGCGAACACGGTGAAAGAAGGCAAACCCTGGCTCTTGTATATATGGTGATTGGCCTCTGTGTGTAGCCCAGAAATGAAAAGACCAATTTTGCATCATAATCACCAGCTTCACAATAGTCCCCACTTTGAAAAGAGGCAATGGGAATGTGGAAGGGTGAGTAGAGCCACATGCCATCAAACAATCAGCCTTTTCACCGTGTAACTCAAAGCGTGCAGAGCACGCAGGGCCACAAATCGAGAATTTGCGGTTTGGCAGGTGGCCTTCGTGGCCAAGCGAGGTTGGAATTCTTGGAGTCGGCTTTCGGGTAGAAATTCCCGTCGTCAAGGAGTTAATGCAGCAGCAACCCTTAAATAGTAAATTAAGCTGTCTTTGGGTGACTAGCCTTCCAAGCTATCTCACCAGTGGCCTTACAAAACCATCATCAGTAAATATGAAGTGATAATGAGTGTTTTACTTGCTCAAATTTTAAGAAATAGCTAATCCACTCTGCTGCCCCCGAGACATGGTAGACCTACCAGGCTGTCGTCGGGGGGAGGGGGGAAGAATTAAAATCACAAACCCCTCACAAAAAGCACCACCACTTTTTTGGGATATGGTGGGAATTCTTTTTAGGATGAAAAAAAAATGATGCCTGTAGTTAGATGTTTCCCACGGCCAGGACTGCATGGTACATGTATATTACCTGCAAGATGACGGAGGCATGCCGCTCAGCATTCTCGGCACACTTCCACTTTCGGTAGGATTCTGGTTTCAACAAGTTGTCCACTTTGTGGGTCTACGTACAAACATTTTGACAAAAAAGAACGTCCTCATAACTAGTTAATGCTCCTTATAAAGTTACCCGTGTAGGTCGAAAAGGTGAGATTTTACTTTAATCGCCCTGCATAAAGTCCACAATAGACCTGTTGTTCTTAACATAAAAACCCAGAGGCGGCAAAACTAATTTGGGGGATGATTCAGCCAACCTACAAAATGGAAGAAAAGTAAGAATGGTACGATGAACGCATTACGCAATATCGCTGGGATGTCGAGACTTCAACTGGCCATGTGTTGTGTTCAAGAATATGTGTTTGCTTTAAGGATAAGAGGGTGGACGATTGTTACTTTGGATCTCATACATTTTAGTACCGCCAGCATGACAAGAGCTTTCCAGAACTTCTTGTTGGCTTCGTAAAATGGCCACAAACCAGATTAAATACAATATATGTACATTTTTGCAACACAATGATCATCATGATGGATGCCATTTTGTGTTGTTGAGTACTCATGAAACGTGATGTCATGACATTACAGGATTGTTCCATTAAAATGTACAGGTAACAGACTATTCATTCACAAGATTTTGAAAGTATCTAAAACTTCCATTCTAGACACTCTTCTGGAAAACCCACACAAATCACACAGTTTGTACAATTAGACTAGATTAGAGTGATGAAGAAATTTACCAGAACCATTCATATTTCTGGTAAAAGCTAATCCAAGTTTATTTTCTTTCAACTGTATCTTTTTATTGGTAGTCATGGTAGTCTGCAACATTTACACGGAGGGTTAGGAGAGTAGTGTGCTTCACTTAAAGTTTAGGGGAACCCAGCTGAAACTCAGAATATTGCTGTTTTCTCAGATGATATTGAGATATTAGGAATCACATGCGGTCTAAATCTGGACAATCATTGTCATTTTTATTGAAGATTTAGGCCTAGATCAGTGAAGAGATAGAGTTTGTCCCAGAGCTATCATCTTAAAATGATCTTTAACATGACGTCATCGTTGCTTAATTAGGCGATGTACAGGTGTGTACAATTTAACGTGTCTATTTGTTACACCCGTGTATGACCGAAAGGACATACATGTGCNGGTCCTCATAACTTGTTAATGCTCCTTATAAAGTTACCCGTGTAGGTCGAAAAGGTGAGATTTTATTTTAATAGCCCTGCATAAAGTCCACAATAGACATGTTGTTCTTAACTTAAAAACCCAGAGGCGGCAAAACTAATTTGGGGGATGATTCAGCCAACCTACAAAATGGAAGAAAAGTAAGAATGGTATGATGAACGCATTACGCAATATCGCAGGGATGTCGAGACTTCAACTGGCCATGTGTTGTGTTTAAATATGTGTTTGCCATAATGATAAGAGGGTGGACGATTGTTACATTGGATCTCATACATTTTAGTACCGCAAGCATGACAAGAGGTTTCCAGAACTTCTTGTTGGCTTCGTAAAATGGCCACCCACAAACCAGATTAAATACTATATATGTACATTTTTGCAACACAATGATCATCATGATGGATGCCATTTTGTGTTGTTGAGTACTCATGAAACGTGATGTCATGACATTACAGGATTGTTCCATTAACAATAACCCTACACAATACTACAAATTACTACTTGTAGTAAAATGTAGAACTGAGCGCTGTCGCTTGTAAGAGGACATGACCTTATTGTTCTGTGAAGCCATAAGATACTATAGATAAGACAATGTACCATACAGTGCTGTGGCACAATGAATGCATGGTTTTATTGTTCTCTGTATGAGTAACAATGGAAGTAACCTAGCCAGAAGTAGTAATTTGTAGCGCTAGGTCCTTCAGGCTCAGACTATTACTTAGTATTTTGTAGTACTGTGTAGTGTAAGCCAAACAATATGCTTGGCGGTTAGGGTTAATATGTACATGTAACAGACTATTCATTCACAAGATTTTGAAAGTATCTAAAACTTCCATTCTAGACACTCTTCTGGAAAACCCACACAAATCACACAGTTTGTACAATTAGACTAGATTAGACTGATGAAGAAATTTACCAGAACCATTCATATTTCTGGTAAAAGCTTATCCAAATTTATTTTCTTTCAACAACTGTATCTTTTTGTTGGTAGTATGGTAGTCTGCAACATTTACACGGAGGGTTAGGAGAGTAATGTGCTTCACTTAAAGTTTAGGGGAACCCAGCTGAAACTAGGAATATTGCTGTTTTCTCAGACGATATTGAGATATTAGGATGCACATGCGGTCTCAATCTGGGAAATCATTGTCATTTTTATTGAAGATTTAGGCCTAGATCAGTGAAGACATAGAGTTTGTCCCAGAGCAATCATCTTAAAATGAACTTTAACATGACGTCATTGTTGCTTAATTAGGCGATGTACATGTATGTATAATTTAATGTTCGCACCTGGTAGTTTTTTTCGACTTGCTGTTTGTGGCAGGGTTTCCCCTGCCTACTCAACTGTGAGGTGGCCAACCTCACTGATTTGAGTAACAACCTCAAGCTTTTCTGTTGAATTTCACCACCTCACACTTGAAGGAAAAAGCAAAAGAATTAAGATATTTTGCAACAGTTACGCTGTAAATTGTTCAGAATGGTAATTGGTATGAATTGACACAGAACACAAGATCGATCTATTTCAGAGGCAAAACTTGTTGGACCACCTCATACCCGGGGGAAACCCTGCATATTACTTAGGAATGCATGGGGGCGTAAACATAAACAAGCACCTCTTCATTTCATACAGGTATGAAGTAGTCTTAACACTTACCGTAGTATCCTCGCTACTGCATGATACGACGTGCTGCAACTTTATTACTGGCATTTTCAGAGTATCGTAACTATGTAATAATATGCTTGACAGTGCAGTGCACAAAGATTCTCACGAAGATTTACCCCTGATACAAATGTTCACAAAATTGAATGGTCGGCTGCTGGTCACATAACTTTTACTTTTACAGCATCATGCCCGAACATGCCAAACTCGAAACCCCGCCGTATGATTGAACTTTGACCTCCCTATATAAAAAAAACCCACCCCTTGTTTACAATGGGCCGGTCGCGATGATAAAAGTCTTTCCTTAGTTTGATGTATAAGACCTTTAACATGACTTTTCAAAATAAAATCTCAAAGTACATTACACGTACATATATTATATTCGTCATAATTAAAAAAATAGTAAAGAATCACAAAGGTTGGTTTAGACTATCTCATAAGAACAGGGGTGTGGCAAGCAGCTCTTTGGCTTACTTGCAGCGCGCCCTCAAGACTTCGGTTTGGTTACGCGGTAATTTTAGACATTGTAACTTAGGCCCAGGCCTACATGTCCATGGTAGAAGTGAGCGAGATAATTATGTATGATTCCAAAGAGGAAGGTAGGCGTGCAGGCTAAACCATTGAGTATGACTATGAGAGAGGCTAGGCCTACATGTACACACCTAACCAGCTAACGTTAAAAATTAGAAAACAGATTTTTTTCAGACCGGCAGTCTCATCAAGTACCCAGGCTACATGTAAACTAAATACCACTCATCGATGTCATCTGATTCTGAGCGCATTCGTCATGTTCGTACGCATGGTTGGTTGGTAGACCTAACGTTACTCATGTTGCAATGTTGCAGTCACACAGTGCATCCAGTGACACTCAGGTTGACTAAGTGACTGTCCTATAGGTCCATGGATTCAGCATGTTCAGTGAATCTGTTGCTACGTACTGAGGAAGAAGTAACATTTAGAAGCATAAACAGGGCCCTACGTGCACGCCACGTACTACAGGCCTACTGTTCCTCCTTCGTATTTGGCGGAGCAGTATACAGAGGATGGAGTATAACTTATAACTTATAAGTAGCTTGAACTAACATGAGTGAGTGTTTTAACACATTACACATGGTGGATTCAAATTGGCTTGGCTGGTTTATCAGTAACTTTCTCACAATTTACGATACGCCTAGGCCTACGAAGTGAAGTTTCCAAAAACTGGAGTCAGCACAATAAAGAGAGTGTTGCCCTTGTTTTTTTGGTTTTGGGGAGGGGGAACTTACCAGGTTTGCAAGACTAAAATGACCAAAAAATGGAGGTCCTCAAGTATACAATCCCTACCCCCAGAACTGTTGGGTCAGACGCCTGCCCTGCTCTCGAGGTGGACGTCGGACCCACAGGTCTGGGGGTGTACAATCCCCCTGTTTATGCCTAACTATCGTTGGGCCTAGGCTAAGGTCTACTGGTGTAGGGAGTAGGAGAGCCAGGTCAGGTCACCATGGTCACAACTCAGAGACTATTGGAGAATGGGGACAATTTTTTATGAGGCCCCCAACATTAAGTGTGCTTTGGGATTCTACATCATTGATCATGTGTAGCATATGGTGTGCCATACCCTGGGGTTCCTTTTCTTTTGCCACAGGCCCGGATTCAGCAGTAAACAACAGCCAAAGGCTGCCGTTTAAAACAAAATAATTCTACTACCCTTTACTTCAAGCATTTACCTCTGTACCAGCAGGAATCTGCAATAAGCCTTTCACGTTTCAGATGCGCATGCACAGAAGATTTAACAGAGGGGAACAAATTCATGACAAAAACATTGCGTAAGATTTGGCGAATGGATGTTCGCCATTGTTATTGTTGTAGGCAATTTGTTCCCTCTTGCTTTGTTCACTTACTTGCTAAAATCCAACATGGTGACGGAACAGGAAGTTGGCTTACGAGACGGACGTGACAAAAAGGCTAGCGACATGGCACAAAGTTCATAAAACACAATATAAATTACCTAAATGTGAATGGAATTATCCCAGAAAAAATTAATAATAGCATGTGGATACATGTATTTTGACCCAAGGCCACTTGGGACAAAATGTCCCCTTGTTAAAGAGACAATCTCTACTTTCAGTGGTTTTGTCTCAAATTAAAGGGACTCCCCCAAAACAGGGACATTCCCCGAGCTGTGATGTGCACCTCTACTGCCGGTAGGCCCTCCTTTTTTATCAGTGTTTATAGTTCCATGCTTACGGGTACATGTAGGTCTGTGTACAGGTCCTCTTCTGATTGTGCATACCTACATTTAGCTCATCCTAGGTGAAGTCAGCCCTGTAAGTAGGCCTGCGTGTATTCTAACAAGGTCCATCATTTCTCTCATGACACCAACCAAGTGACTAAATTTTGATTTTGTCTTTGGTGTGTATGGTTTTTAAGGTCGTAAAAGGATGGAGTAGGCCTACATGAGGCTTTTGAGGTGGACAACAAAGTGGCCAACTTACAGTTACATGTAGCTTGAGCATGTTGGGCATGTTGGGGCTAGCTGCTGACGTGTTTACTTCTCTTCAGTCTTGACTCTTGTGTAAATTTACATGTGTACTCCTTCCAGAGTTGATTCTCCTCTGGATTTTGGTCAAAGGCGAGTCAGCTCAGGATGGAGTAGGCCTGTAATGAGTTTTTGCTAGTTTCAAGATTGCTCTGAACGGTTCCAATTAAACCAAAGCCAAAGGTCATTTTATACCCGTCCCGATAACTAAGCATATTATAAACACAAATTTCCAACTTCCCAGCTATGGCAGCTTTTGTTCCACCTTCTTCATCGAGTTATGTTTACTTGTAAGTTTTTGCCAAAAGTGTAAACTGGCCTTAACCATGGTTAATATCTGTGAGGAGGAATTTTACTCGTCATCACCGCTTTTTTTTCTTGCTGTCTGAAATTGCAGGCATCTGAAAAGCCTGGATGATGTCTGACAGACGCAGCGAAGTCGCGGCCCTCCTCCACAAATGGGCAACAGAGGAGATGAACTTTGTGCCCCAGGGGCGACATGTGAATGCACCCATGCCGACAACACAGGAACTCAGAGGGTAAGAAGAGAGGCGAATCTCAGGGAGCCATTGGTCACGGATGGGACGGAAAGTTTGGCTGGTGTCAGCCTGCTACTGTGGAATTAGACAGCCTTCTGTTTTGCTTTTGCTTCCACAGTGCAACATTGTAAATTATCACTGACATTGAAGGAATGTTAGGCACGTCTGCATTCCTATTTAGGGAAATATCCATTGCACGTACTTGAAAGCGCTACTGAATTTTGTGCACATTCAGTCGAAAGGTGCATGCATGTATTTTTCACCATTTTCATGTACATGTATGTACACGTGATGTCACTTGGTAAAGCTGGCTGTCATTTTTGGTATATAGTGCCCAATACTAAATACATACATGTAATGATGAGAGGTGATTCAAAGAATGTAGTACGTAGTCTTGTTTCCTGTTAACCCTGACACTTGCCTGACCTCCCCAGATCCTACAAATCCACCAGGAGGTTGTGAAGGCCTTTGCAGACTAGACCAAGAATAATCCCTCCCACAAAACTAGTACTTCATACTTGGGATTCGGGTCTTTTCTTTTCAAAAGTGTCTCTGGCAAAAATGCTAAGGACTTTAGCTAATTGGGCTCAGGATCTGTCGAGGCCCAGTACAAATTGCCTTTGGGTCTTTTCATTTAATTTGGTTTCAGAATGACAGTCGCCATGATAATTATTTATGAGATTTACATTTTTTAGGGAAGTGTCAGTTTTTAATGGGGTGTTTTGCCCTGCGCTGGTGTGTATTTTATCGGCATATAAGCACTACATGTACATGTATATATTGGAACATGTGCACCATTCAGTAAGAGTGAGCAGGTGTTTTTTACCAGTCTTTAGACAGCATTGAGCATTCAGTGTTTATAAATGCATGTCCCAATTTAAAATATCATTGGCATTTGTTTTCATCATTTTTGTTACTTGACAGGATTTGCCGTGGGAGTCTGCTGGATATCTGGGAGTTTGTGATAACAAGGGTGCACTCAGCCCAGACTGCAAGAAAGATTAAAGGGAACCTGGCACTGTATCCTTCATAAACCACAGTTACACTGGAGAAATCCTCTTACACTGCACCTGTAGAGGATTAATACAGAGCCCTGCCAGGCCTAGGACCTCCCACAATTGCTGACCTGATTTTTCGTTCTGATAACTTCACGTACTTTTACCAATATAATGATTAATGAGAAAAATAACTAATCTTTAGCTTACACTTTATGCTTCACTCATGGACAGTACTGTACGTAGTTTTCCCAGGCTCCATAGGCTCCGTCAACCTTAATCAGGTCTTTGCCACCTGCTGCTGCCCCTCGCAAAGTTGAGTGATTGCGAGTTGTTACACTCTGCTTTACTCTACTCAGGCAACACTATAAAAACAGTAAGAAGACAAAATAGTACTTGAATTGGATGTAACATTTCAAGAACGTATTTTAAATGATTTTGGGACCAGTGTTGTATTTGAGTCCATCACAGGTCCCTGTAAGTCCATCACAAGTCCCTCTAAGTCCATCACAAGTCCATCATAAGTCATTCATTCTTGAGCCAATTCACAAACTATTCAAATGAGCCGTTACAAAAGCATTCTTTCGTTATTTTTATACTGTTACTTATGACTAGCTTTGTGAAAGGACTTGTGGACTTGTGATGGACTAAAATACATGTACAAAACTGTTTGGGACACTGTTCAGGCTATCAGTTTGATAAAGCTGGGTTGGTTAGCTGATCTGAAATGTCAGATTTTACAAGGCCAAAATCTGGACTGGCTGAGTGTTTGTATTTTTTGGCCGGGGGGGGGGGAGAATCGACAGCCAAAGTGCTTAGGCCTAACCTGCTTCATGTCTGCCAATCATGTGCATGTCAAACATGGATGTCATCCGCTTTTGCTCAGACAAACAGGGTAGTGTACATATCATTTACCTGTGAAATGTTTGAAAAGGTCTACCACAATTCCACTCTTTACTAAGGGATGTTCAGGAAATGCACTGCAAAGGTTGAATGTAACAAGGTAGCGGAAATCACGTGATCCCTTTCACTGGAGAAGGCCACTCACTGGGAGCGTTTTCCTTGACAAATATGAACTTTCTCAGACAAGCTAGACACCGGTCGGGGACGGGATACAAAGTCAAGTACAAGGGAGACAGCAAGTACTCCCACGAGAGGGCGGAGTTACTGCAGAGACGGAGGGAGTTGAAGGCCCAGTTGGAAGGCACCAAGTCGGACATCAAGCGGCTGAGTGGAGACCTGGGGAGACTAGAGTTGGAAATTCTATCTGCAGGTACAATGTACTTGATTCCTTGCACCAAACCCATCAAATCTTCCACCGAACCTCTTATACCATCATGTCAGAAGACAATGACACTTTCCTTCTATGTGAGATTTTAAGAACGTCAAGTCAAACTTAAAGTGATAACGTGTAGCTGCTGTCCTTAAATGCTTAGAACCTTCCTCACAATTCACAACGTCTTCAAATCGAGGCCGTGTAGAGCATGCTGGAAACATCAGCAGTTGGTATGTAAATGCATAAATGTGATAAACTGTTCACATTGTACCTCCCGCATTGTAATGGGTCATTACATGTACATTGGCCTTATGTCCTTGAGCAGGGCACTTGATAGTGATTAGGTACCATGAGTTAAGTGCTTAAAGATTGCACTTTTCATTATCAGACCACAGTTTCCAATTCAAGACTGGAGCAACCTTTCCCAAGGAATGCACTGTGCAGGACAGACCGTGTCTCTTCTACTTTTTTTGACTTCTCCACTTTTTTTACTTATTCCCAGAACATGAGTACCAAGACGCCTGTTCTGAGATATCCGACCTCCAGCACAAACAGACATTGCTGGGGGCCCATTCTACTGAGTGCAAGGCCAACACGGCTCGGTATGAGGAGTACACCAATCGCATAACTGGAAAGCTGAACCATTACATGGAAATAAAAAGGTGAAACCACGGTTCCCTTAGCATGGAAATGTATCGTGTTGTTTGCTCAATTATTTTGAAGTTTTAAACAGATTTGGAAAGTATTCTCAAGAAGTAATCAACAACTTTATAGGAAGGAAAATTTTCCACTTTCTGTAAGGATTCAACCCTTTGTCTAATGCGATAAAAAGTACATTTGAATGCATAAAAGCTAAGTGAACTTGAATTAAATGTTTGTTTTACCCGAAACACTGCTTTTAAAAACTGGTTGGCTCATGTTTACGTATAGTCAGAACTGTCTAGGGATGTCAGGTGTTCGTATGAGAGTAAGCATGTTTGCTGTGCACTTTGTGTTTTCTGAATGCTTAGTTTTGTTCAAAGAAGTTCTCTGAATGTGCTTTATACCTTGAGATGCATGTGATCTCATTTATATTTTGCAACAGTGGGCATGGCCAGTCACTGTTATTCAGCAAGCAAGGCTCGAACAAAGCCAACGGCACATTCTCACCAGGTCTGGAATCGGCATGCACTGTAAGTTTGCCGGCAAATACGACGGGCTTTCCACCTATCCAGCAGAAGTGAATCTTTTGCTTTTGTAGCAAAACACTTCAGTTTAGAATACCGGGGCTCTCGTTCACAAACAAATGGATTGATGTCTCTGATGTGAAGGAGGAAACTGGTCAAATCTGAGATGGTGGTCAGGAAAAACAAAATAAAGTGGTTTTAATGTGTCTTCCGTTCGGAAAATCTTTTTTCCTGTGTGTAGCCACAGAGTATTCACCTGAAATGAGATTTTGCAACGATCTTTTCATTGAATTTTGTCCTTCACTTCCTCCTTCATTGAGCATGTTCTCTTGGTGATCTCTAAGATATTAGGAAGAAGAATTGGCCAGCTTGCTCCAGATACTAAACTCAGGTGGGTCTCGAGCCCGTAACTACCGCTTTCTTCCACAGATGTCTCAGTAACCAAGTCTCATATAAACTAGGTGCAACGCTGACTGGGACATGCTGTCCTCAATCTGGTAAAAAATTCTAAACCATGACCACACCATTTAGGGGCTCTTTGTGTTTTTGAGGCTTGAAAAAAAGACAGTTGAAGAGTTAACATCATGAATTTTTTTTGCTTACCATATTTTGCGTCCTCAGAAAGTTGTGCGTGAGTCGTGCTCCGAGGTAGCAGCTTTCCTTCGTCAGATACTGAAAGGGGACTTTGGTTCCGACTCCAAAGCTTTGTGAGTTTGCCACACTTGCCTCAAATCATGAGCGGATTGTGTACTTGTTGCCCTAATCCTCCAAATTAATTACAAATCACACAGGGTCTTATTGGATTTGGCAGAAGTAGGGATAGTGGCATGGTTTTCAAGGAGGAGCCCAACTGGAAGCAAATCTCACGGTGTTGGGCTCGTGTCGCAAAAACCTCAGTTTAAAGCGTGGTGAAATAAGCAGCCAGCAATTTGTGTCTCTAGCTCACCTAGACAGCAGGTGTTTCACTCCACTCCAGGGAAAGTGAGTGCATGTTCAGCAGGAGTGGGAAAAGTGGTTGGCAAGGGGTGGCCACGGTTGAGTTGAGGCAGTGGCAGATAGATGCAGGAGAAGCCAGGTATTGAAAGGCAGTTTCACCGTAAACTGTATTTGTTGTTCAGGCCCTCAATGTGGCCTTGGTTGCAGCAGTGCCTGCTCGATGCAACACAGGTTCCGAAAATGCATTGATGTGAAAAGAGATGCACTGTTCAAAACATCAAGCTATCTGATTCTTTTCATAACCACACAGCTCACCCAAAAAGATGCACACGTATGTATGCCTGTTACAAACTTCTTGAAATGTTTCCTCGATTATTTTCTGAAATGCTTCACAATCCTTCCTCTAGGACTGAGAGACAGAACCGGACCTGGGCCAGTATCGAGAACGTCCTGGCAGACCACCCCTCCGATCAGGTCATCCGATCGCTGGCGGTCATTAGCGAGGAATCCGCTCATTCCCTGAGACGGATCACGAACGGCATCGACCTGAAAAAAGATGCTGAGCAACTTAGGTAGGGAGTGTCTTCTCAATCTCATCAGGGTCTCCCCTGGGGTTCCGATATGTTTGAGGTGGTCAAACAAATTTTGCCAAAATTCTAGCACCTAAAACAAAAGCGAGTGTTTTGAGGAAGGCCTAAAATAAGTTCTATCTGGTATACATTAACTCTGCATTTCCTCTCTAAAATGAATCTTATATTCTGTTTCCCGCTTCACCATGCTGAATGATTTGAAAGTAATCTACTTAAAAGAGCTTTGAAGCTTTTTATGGTGAAGGTGGTAAGTTAGAGAGGTTTGTGTATGGTTCTCCAGTTCTTTTCAGAACCACACATACTCAAAAGAGATACCCTTGCATGGTGCTACCGCAAACCTCTCTAACTACTCTACGTGTATTTGATTTAATCTATGTGTATTGATTGATCTCAATCTTGCCTAATCCTACAAGATTTCCTGAAATTTTACACACTACACATCTGTCCATCTGGAAGGATTTGAGTTTAAAATCAGAGTTTGAACCTACAAGACTGAAAACGACGTGCACCTCTTTCTCAACCCACAGACAATTTATAACTAATTTAGTAGTAGAGGTCTTGGCATCATCCCTTGAACTCCCATCCAAAGAGTCTCCCTGGCTTCTTAGATCTCAGCACCTGTTGGTTTTTGTTCAGTAAAGTTTTATCTTCATTGTTCATTCCATGTACGGTCTTTCCCCAAAGTGCCCACTTTACAATATAGTCCAGATTTACTCTTCCCCTTGACCAGCTCTGTGAGGCATTCATGAATGTTTTCCACACGTGGCACTGCATCTGAGATCTGTCTCCTGAATCCTTTGCTCATCCAGCATTTAATGCTATTCATTTGCTTGTGAATAGAGAGGCGAAGAAACATCTTCCCTTTGTCATAAACTTCTAAATACTTTCTGATACTGTAGCTCACACCCTCTGTTGTCTACTGACTTTTTAGTTCGGTGATATCAGTAAAACAATTCAATCAGTTAAATCAGATGAAATTTGAAGCTTTTCATGGTGGAGGTAGCAAGTAGACTAGACAGCATTGGGGATATAGCTCTTTTTTGAGTATGCGAGGTTCTGAAGAGAACCGGTGGTACTCAACGTTTCGGACAGTATGCTCTGTCCACCGTCAGGAGACTGACGTTAAATCTATCGTCGGTTGACCTTTTGTTAGGTGATATAAGTGAAACAGTTCAATCATTTAAATCTGGTTGTTGTGCCCAGGTTTAAGCATGGTAGCAGCGGTCTGTTGGAAGATGCCTCCACAGCACCAGACCTCATGCTGAGTGTCCACCAGCTCATTGAGGTAAGGAAAATCTGATTATGGAAAGATCCCACTGAGCTGAGCTTAAGTATCAATCAGCTGTACAACCTTAACTAGGCATAGTCGAGTCCACCACAAATCCTTTCCCAAGTCCTCTCACAAGACCGGTCGTGAGTAAATAGTTGGACAATGACAAGGGAATGCCTTTTGTTCATTTCATCTGAAAAGAGGTTCTGCACGACGGCCATCTTCCGGTCAGTTTTTTGTTCCATCGGGATGCACATGAGTAGACCTTTTGTGCATATCCCCCATAACAAAAGCAGACTGGATGACATGCGATGGACATTTGATGGACTAGCAGGGACTTGAGGGGACTAGCAGGGACCTACAATGAAGCATTCCTTTCCACAGAACAGTTTAGATAAAGGAGTTGAAATGTTTTGACGACCACTGGATCTGAGTGGAAACCACAGTTTTCTGTTTACTTGTTTCACAGTCATGCTGCAGACCATTACGAATACCTTCCTGTTCTTTACGTGGAGTTAAACAAAGCCACTTGTTCCGGTCATCTTCACTTTTTAGGAGAAACAGCTGGCCCACATGCGGACGTTCATGGTCACAGAGCAGAGTCGGAACACGGCCTGGCGGCTGGATAAGAGACTAGCCCAGTTAGTCTCTCAGGTCCACAGGAAACTGGACATATCACTGTCCAATCAGCCGGGAGCCTTGGAAATGGCCAGGTAGGGTCTACACTAACCCCTTAAGTTTTTGCATCAGGAATGTTAAGACGCTGAGCTATTTGCACAATGCCTGAAAAAAAAGGCTCATCATTTTATTTGTAGATGGTTGATCACGTGACTATACAACGCCTGATTAAATCCCCATCATCCGAGTGGTGGATCATTGATTACGTGTCATTGAATTATTCGTCTTTAATAATGTGGAGTACACTGCACCACTAAAACAGAGGTTCCATTCTACTGGTAAATGAAAGTTTCATTTTTGCTGTCAGGCTGTTTTTGAACTTGTAGATGATGCAGGGATGTATTTTAGGTTTATTCAGGCATTGTTTAAAACTAAATAATGAGTATGCCACATTTATGCAGTGGGAAAAATAATTACGTTTAATGACAGATGGAAGTTCCATTCCACTCGGCTTTACCCTTTGAAATGGACCATTTTATCCTGGACCCTTCAGTTTTTTACCCTTCATATCAAAATTGTCAATCTCTGGTTGTACTCCATGGTCGGTCAGATCACTTGGCGACTAAGGCATCTTTACATGACTTTGGTTTTACCCTGTCGTAGCATCCTTTGTAATTCAGATTCAGGGCTTTAACGATGATTAACCCCCATAAAATTAAAACTTAAATAAGATAAAAAATCACGATAAAAGTATTTGGATGATGTCGTAGAGCACAAGTGCTGATAAGGTTTAAGACTGTGAAAGACATCGTTTGACTTTATCGATCTTCGTGTATGTTGCAGACACACACCTTATTGCTGTCTTTGAGTTTGTGTTCTCTGCTTGGAATACGTGCTAGGACTTTGTTTTCTGCCGAGTTGGAGTTAGTCTCCTCCACAGCCGCTCTTGAGCAGCTTCGGGATTCCTGCAAGGAGCTTCAGGAGTGGGCCTCCAAGGCCTCTAAGGAGAAGGATAACCTGTACAGCAAGTACCAGCAGATTCAAGACTTCAAGAAGTTGACTGTGAGTAAAACAGGCTTGGGACGTGTCCTCCGTTCTGCTGCATTCCTCATTTTCTACAAGCTGGAAAATGCCGCTGACACAGCTGGGAATGTTCTCGGATTTGCAACATAAATTGGAAAGTGTTATTTCAGCAACAACTTTTACCAACAAAATGGTCTACTCAATTCTTGAATGTGAATGGTTTTGACAGCGATGTTTTAGTGTCCGCCGTGATATATTTCCTGCTTTATTAGGATTTCAGATTTTTGTTTCCTCTCATTTCCTTTCATTTCCTCTATTGCCAATGTTCTGCACTGTAGTCATTCTTTGGCGGGGTCTACAGGGCATTTATTTCAGTCTTCTATCGGCACCAAGTATCATGCCCAAAGTATTTCCAAACTTACTCAAAAACACTTTATAAAAGCTCGTTACGGAACCTGTATTTTTGGCCACCCCTGGTACAATGTGTCTATCTATCTGTGACATGTGTTCTTTGATTTTGTGTCATGATGCAAGGAGAAGAAACAGGACCTGATCCGAGTGTTGGTGAGGCAGAACTCGGAAGCCAAGAAGAAGCTGGAGATTCTCCGGAGAGAGGTGAGTAAAGCTCAAGTTGCCCATCAGCCTGGAATTTCTGTCAAAGTGAACGTTTGAAGTTTCTCGTTTCAGATTGCATCACACGTGTACGTGTACGTAGCGTGATTCACTATGTATAATTGGTCTTTGGTCTGTCCTGTTGAGATATGATTTGATTTGATGCAAAGAGTGTGAAAACCTGACAGGAGAGAAAGGTAGCCACTTTGACTCGTTCGTCTTCTGTTTCCTCGGCAACAGAATCTGATGTACATGCAGTCTTCACTGTGCAGTCACGAGGCGGGCACTGTCGCCACGGCAACCCAGATGAAGAATGGGGTGACGGAGGAGGTAGAGCGGTTTGCCCAGCTTCCGTTGCACTTGCTACGTCTTGTATCGTTGGACAGGTGAGATTTACAGGGTGCTTGGTCTTAGAACTAAATTTTTTGCCTGAACACTGCTTCAACTCCGGCCATTCTCATGGCTATCATTCTATCCAAAGTGTGACGTACATGCATTTTACTGAAATATGATGTCATTTGGACTGGGAAGTGTATTGGAAACAAGCGGCGAACAGGCTTGTGCTGGTTCATGTGCTGGTTCTCACGCTAATGCCTTTTTACACATGGAGTTTGCTTGTGACGTATTCTCCTTGGGACTCTGGAGGGGAAGGTTTTTACAAACTGATTTAAAACAAAGTTTGAACTCACTGCTGGGTCTCGACTGTCAGTCGTTATTATTTGTAAATTTTGAATATTCACAAACTTTGGTTTTACTCTGAGGAACTGGCAAACATTTTATTTAGCACTGCATCAAAAGAGAAAATGGCCTTTTACTGTAAAGAAGGAAGATGGTGATTTCTGATACCTGTTGTATAAAAGTATTGAAATTCCATTGTGATGGTTACACAGTGGACAGAGCATTCCGGTGAGCCAGCTGTCAATCAACCGATTCAGTGGCCAATCACAGAGCAGTGGAGGCGGGGCTATCACAGAGGTCGTTCAGCTCTTGAAGTATCCACCTTACAAGGTACAGAACTTGTTAACAGTGAGTCGATTTGTAAGTCAGTTCACAAGGCAGAATTTGTATGAATAACAGTGACAAAAGGATGCCAAACTCAAAGAGTTGACTTACGACTGAATGACTTACATTTATAGTACTTGTGGTGATTTGTGAATTCAATTTTATAGCACCATATACTTCTATTGAGGGCATGGTTCCCGTGGCCTGGAAAAATCACGAAAAAGTCATGGAAATTTGCTTTCGTTTCCCAGGTCCGGAAAAGTCATTGAATTTTGTCAAAATGACTAAAGTCATGGAAAAGTCTGGGAATTTTTCAAACACTCTGTGTGATTTGAATCATCAGAAATTAGTGCACAAATTGTGTGATTTTATTTGCAACTTTAAAAGTCCGAATAGTCCAAGAAATTGCATTATTGGATCATGGATTTTCATAATTTGGTCACAGAAAAGTCCAGGAAACGTTACGGAATTGAATTTTCCTTAAGGTGCAGGGACCCTGAAGGAGTTTGTTAACTACCAACTTTTAGAAGCATCTACTTGTAGTAGTTCAATTTTCCAGTCATCAGCTTTATCTACCTGTATGTCTCAGACTTTGCCTGTTTGTAGCCCCCTAATTTGAAAGTTGTCAGTTCAGTTATATGTTATATAATAATATAAAGTATAAGTATACAGTATGTTATAGTATTATAACTTATATTTCACTATGGGAACTTCTAACAGTATGCTATCGGTCCAAAGACAGAAACGGAGGCCTAGAGGCAGCCTTGATTTCAGAGGCAAACCTGAGAAAAAGCAATAATATTGAAAGCGTCAAGGTGCTGATACAAGACTTCTACGGAAAGTGTACCGCTTCGATATCTTTTAATTGAGAGATAATCTAGTTGCTTGTAGAAGTGGTTTCGTCTTAAATGAATTGTGTCACCCACTTTCATTCACTCCTAATAGTAAACGGAATTTCACTTTTGCCCTCCTTGCGTTTACAGGCTCCGGAGACTTTGCTACCACATGCCGTTCAGCTGAAATGTGAAATAACGGCAGTACAGACACTGCTAGACTCCAAACATCTACTCCATACGTCCATGGCGGAAACCCACACTGATGATCGAGCAACCATTCAAAATATCTCAGGTACTGGGTAAACTGAACTCTTTTTGCAAAACAAGGAATGTAAATTGTTAATGATGATTTGCACTGGGCAGACTCTTCACTTAAATTAACCCCAACCAGCGTTGTAGTCAAGACCTTCAATCAAGACCTTCAGTCATCAGCTACAAAACTGAGACTAAGGCCGTGTCCGAACAGCTAAGTCTGTTGTCTGTGCTTTCTCCGCATATCTCCAATGAAGTGGAGACCAAGACCTAGCTCTAAGCAACAGATTCGGATGCAGCACAAGACCAAGACCTTTGCTTGCCAGGTTGAGATAAAGAGTTTGCTTTTTGAGACCGATAGCGAGATCAGACCTTTTGAGACAGAGACTTGTTTAAGTTGAGACTGAGAGCAAGACTGAGACCACGAGAGATCTTAAGACCTCTATCACTGACCCAAACCCCTACCCTATGAGGCCTTCTAGAGTGGCAGTATCTTGCCTTTCTCCTCCTACTTATTGTTAAAACTGCCAGGCCACTCCTAGCCCAATTTCTTACCTCTCATTGCTATCTTAGCCCATGTTTCTTGTATCTTGACGTTGAGATGAAGAAGATGTATTCACCATTTTAGACCTAAATATCTCATTCTCAATGTAACGTTTCAATGACTTAAAATGGAGTATTGTTTATAATACTCTCACGATGAGGGATATCTTTAGCTTTGATCAAGAGTATTGGTAGAAATAATTTAGAGGTTGCTTCCTTGAAACACCTCCTACAAGCCAGTTTTTGTTTGCGGTGTGAACAGCCACTGACGTGCTGTCTGTGGTGTACAGAATCCTAGCTTGTACTTTGTCATTTTAATAACAAGATATGTGAGGTATCTGAGAAAAAAAAAAGAATTCATCAGAATCCTTTCTGGTAATCTAGTGATGATAATACAACAAGCATGTTGATTGGTCCCTCCTGAAAGTATATCTGAGAACATTTTGCATTTAATTTCTTGCAAAACCCTCATCACTTGGTCATGTTGGAAGTCATTCCTAGGAGACAGACAAGAAGCCTAAAGTCTGCACAATCCTAACCACTTGTGTAGTAATCTGTGTCAGTTTTTGTCATATCTTAAGACATTTCAATTCTGCAGAATGTTTGAAGTCAGTTCCCAATCGAGACAGCTTAGTAAGCAAAAAAGAATCCTAATTCCTTGCTGGTTTTTTTTAGCCCTGACAAAGGAGGTCAGCTCTCATGATGAGGAGCAGCTACGGCAAGTCCTCCCAGTGCTACAAACCAGACTTAGTGAGTCCACGGACACCTTGGCCTCTTGCATTTCTGTCAAGGATGCTCTCACAGCTTGGTAAGAGAATGATACAACTAAACTAATGTCATATGGTGGACTATTCAGACCGGTAACCGGAAATGTAGGTATCTCTGTAGCATGCAACTTTTCCTGGGATCAGCTGATTTCCTCATTTTCCCTTCACATTCATGCCATCTAAACTTGTATCAAGTCTTGTAAAGATTGGAATTGCCTTGTTTTTTCCAATGTCCAAGTTGCAGGCCTGTATGTGTGACAAGCAACAATCAAGATTTCCTTGGGTACTTGAATGTCCTTGGATAGTTTTGGTCCTACAGTTACTGTTGTACAAAAGGAGTGAGATCCCTTCTTCTCCAGAACTAGTTACTAATGTTATGGGCTTGTCTGTATTTTGCTTTGCAAAGTTATTTTCTTGCCACCGATTCTTTGTTCTCCAGTTTACCAGGCTTTACAAACTGAATTCCAATCTGGGCAATTGGTAAATCAACATTGTATCAACATGAGGTTGCCACAGAGAGGCCATTTTTCAAGGTTATGGTTGACAAAAACATGGTTAACTGCTAATTCATCAACAACTGCATCAACAACAGCTGACTCAGCTGCTGACTCAACTGCTGACTCAACTGCTGACTCAGCTGTTGACTCAACTGCTGACTCAGCTGCTGACTCAGCTGTTGACTCAACTGTTGACTCAACTGTTGACTCAACTGCTGACTCAACTGCTGACTCAACTGCTGACTCAGCTGCTGACTCAACTGCTGACTCAACTGCTGACTCAACTGCTGACTCAACTGTTGACTCAACTGCTGACTCAACTTTTGACTCAACTGCCGACTCAACTGCTGACTCATACAACTGCTGCGTAAATAAAATTGTGCTGTACGCCTTATTACACGAACCAAACACTTCTCACATATAACTGCCACCCTTCAGCATCTGCCCTGGCTTCCCATCAAATATAGAATCATGTACAACAAATGCTTCCAATGTATCGCTCACTACATAGTACTTCTCCCCATATCTGTCAACGCTCCTGTGTCCGTACGATTCCGGTTGTTCAGGTCTCCGGTCTGCTAACCACCATCTTCTGGCAGTACCGAGATCATACTGATCCTGGGGACACAGATCTTTGGGTATTGCTGCCCCACGTCTATGGAATAGTCTCCCCTTGAACATCCAGCATATCTCTCAGCTCTTTCAAAACGGCAATCAATAGATACTTTAATAACTTCGCTTATGGCACTAGCTTGTGAGCAAATCTAATTTTTTTTCCCTTGTACATAACTGCAATTAATTTACTTTTACTTTTGAAGTGCCATGAGCACCTATTTCTCAGGTGGATTTGTTCCCTTTATAAATGCTCATATTATTATTAACTTGCTACAATTTGCATTTGAGCGTGGCATGCACGACAGCAGACATCTTTAGGAAATTTGTGACAGGTTGGGACATTCCATGGAATGTAAGGAAGAAAGGATTACATAAAACTGATGCTAGAAATACACTTATAAATCTTCATCAGCGATATTCAAGTTCCCTGTGCATAGCCGGAAAATAGAATTTGTTGACTATTTCCCACAATGCACTACGACATGTAGCCTTTGTGGCAACCTCTTGGTGGCGTACTGTGTCGTGAATCACCAAATCACTAATCGTAAAATTGAACACACATTAAGCATTCTGCCGACTTTCATTTTTAACGCTCCTTAAAAATGTTGAAATTTTTTATCCAATATACGTTACATTCATCTCTTGACGTGCATTTCATTAAAAAAGTCTTTGACAAATATGTAGACTACCTATATGGTGCCTGTGAGAGTTGGTTGAACACAGTGCAGTGCTTCAAGGGTCTTGGGTTCAAATGCAGTTGCAGTCTTTGTTTTTCCTCTGAATATCGATATTGCTCTTGATATTATTGACAGGTGGGAGCAGCCAGCTCAGCATCTTACTCCTTGGGTCAGACTGGATGACCTCACTTTGCAGCAGTGGCTAGACAAATGGACAGTGGCCGTAACCAGACTGCGGCAGCTGGGAGTCTAGTGGCTTCAAGTCCGCACTGGACAGTAGGGTCATGTTTTAGAATGCGGCATTGGTCTGCACATAAAGGCTCCTTGTAGAATAGCCACCTTGATAGGGTCAGATAAAAAGACGGTCACGTGGTCACACAGCGTCCCTTAGATTACCATAGGCAAGTGTTTGGCTTGCAATCAAGTAATCATACACTGCGCTCGGTAAACTTCAGAGCAAGGTTTAGTTTTATTTAAAAAAAAAAAATTAAAAAAATTCTTCATGGCAAGCGGTCACCACCGTGCCATGTTTGTCGCGATCATTTTCATGCGGTATTGGGTGCTGGCTCCACATTTTTCTCCAACTTCTTGCTATTTATAAAGCCTTAAAGGCTGGTCTACTATGTAAATACAGTGCATGGCGCTTGTGGTCTTTCTTGATAATGGACATTGTATATCATGTCACATGGATTAATGAGACTACCCGTTGCCTCAAACATTTCCGGTTCACCACGGCCCCAGCTGACGTGTACACTTATAGATTTATATTTCAGTGCTAATTGCTTGCATTGACATCAGCGGTTTTCCTTTGCTTTTACACCGTGTGTGAACAGGTCTTGTATGCCCGCTTGCAAGCCGTGCTTTTTAACATCAGTACGATGTCAGTTGCTGAGCTGTATAAGGTTCCATACAAGTAACGCAAACTACGTTGGCTCAGTCTAGACCAGAGGCTTGCGAGTTGAATTTGAATAAAATCTGGTACCCTGAGTTATATGATAGCATAGAAACGTAACAATTCGAATTTCCCAGACTAAAGACACTGTTACTATACCTCGTGATTCGGGGCAAGCTTTCACATAGCGACCACCATCTCTGGAATGGACTGGTTCCTTTGTGCCATTCTTATCCATAGAGAAAAATGTATTGTTGCAAGGCGTCTCTTACGTAACTAAGCAAAAGCTTGCCCCGAATCACTAGGTATAGCAGCAGTGGCTTTAGTATGGAGAATTCCAATTGTTATGTTCATGTGAATTTAAAGAACTCAGTGTATCAGATTTCATTCAAATATAACTTTCAAAAGGCTTATTGGGCTAATTTCTTTTAAACAAACTGCAGACTATCAGTTTTATGAGTAATGTTGGTCAGGATTGTTTGGATGAGTACATGCAATTTGCTCCGTTAACAGCTTTTTGCTTAAAATATGACAGTAAATATTGCTTGAACTATCACTGTGCTAAAGAAATAGGAATAATGGACGACTCCGTACGGTATCAGTGAGATGTACACAGAATGGCTTGAACATTTGAAGGTTGATAGTTTGGTTGCACCTGTGAGCATGCGGCACAGGTTACAGGCAGACAAAGAAAGGTTGGCTACAGAGAAGAGTTTTTTTTTTCGTTCTGTAATGGAGAATGTGGAAGTTGAATCCTGGATAGTTTGGTAGAGATTTTATAACAACCGTGTTTGAAAATAAAACTTAATTATGATTTAGAAAAGCAAAATGAAATCAAACAAACTATAATATAGTTCAGATACCGAAATTTTATTCTGCTTAATTTGTTTTTCATCAGCTCTGAGTTTAAAATTCCTCGAAAGCACTTGTACAACAACCCAAACCAACATATAACAGAGAGCTGACATCCTGCTGGTAGCATTTACCTTATGTTCCTCAGAGCATGGCGTCGGCACGAACCGTAAGGTCCCTGAGCGGCTGAGAATCCCGTCCGTTGGGATGGAAGTACAGAGGCTTTGCGTGGTAGCCATCTTGCAGGGCAGTTTCTTAATTTGTTCCACACGGAAACCTCCTTTGTGCCTACCGTGTGAGACAAAAGCACGAGCCTGCAAGATGGCCGCCATGGAAATCTTCTATACCATCTCGGTCTAATAAACACCGTTGTATGGGTTGTAGGGCACCAGAAGGTCTGACGCGATTGGCCTAGTGCTTCGTAACGTAATTAAAACAATACGCGACTCAGAAATAAACAATCCTTGGATGCATTATGTGCAACAACAAAAAATGGTAGCTAGCTTACTCCTCAACGCTCCGTCACGCGTAATTCGCAACTAATACACTTGTAGATGGCGCTCTTAATGGGAGGACTCTGGGACTAGACTTCGTCAATCGAGCGTTAGCTCCCACAATAAGAAACTCTTTTATACCCAGCAAGAAATGAGACCGAGGGGTACCTCCCCCAACATGTCCAATCCCTATACATATTCAAAACTATTGTTACTAACACATCCCCCCCAAGATGTCTGAAAGGAATTCCCCAGATTCCTGCGAGACAATGACCAACACAAAGCAGGGGGGGGGATCTCTCCGTCTCATACCTTGCTGCATATGCTTAAGCCATGTAAACAGCCCTTACACCAACATACCAGGTGTATCAAGCCTTTAATATCGGCTTTTATCCCAATTGCAACCAAACATCTTCCTACTAAGCATGGGCGAACCCATTCAAGTTTCTGTTACAATTAACACAGGCCCTACGCGCCTTATATAGCCTGGCAAGCCGGCCGCTGCCGCGATTACGCCTCCCCGCGCGCTACATGTGACCAAGCAGTGACCAGCATTGCCCAGTTAACCTGCGCGCAAGGCCGAGCCTAAAAAATAAGCGCTGCACCCGCTTAAAAAGTAAAACACGTCTACGCGCAGCAAGTATCAGTCCTCTGTCAGAGTCGTCTATAATTTTATCCCTCAACATTGCACCATTATATCCTCCGTCGCGTTACAATTTAACAATATACAAATAACAAAAATGACGGATCGTTTCCTAAGTATTGACCCCATATAGTTATTTGTGAGACATAAAGTCACGCCCATCCTTTTTGGACGAGATACGCCCCAGATTAAACAAATTGGATAGTCAGTCAGACTGGATACTATGACAAAGCTTCATCTCACTTCTGCTGCTGGTGTCGTTCATGGAAAAGATACCCAACAGACGAAAAGCATGACCACTTATTCGTAACCACAGGTCACTTTATTTACAACTTCGTTCAAATATAACCTTGTCTTCTAAACAAACGTCTTCTTAACATCCTGATTTATACGTCGTCGTTTAGCGTTGTACAGTTTGTCCCACACCGGATTAATTAGTACCCCCTGGCGTGCATAAGTGGTCATACACAATGGGCTCATTGTTACGGTACGACCAGGGCATGAATTGAATGTTGTGTTTTTCCGATAATGCTTTTACTGTGTTCCGTGGATTGTTTTTATTCTGAGTACATATCAATCTACCCCGAGGTAATGGAATCGTCCAAAAGTTTTAGCCAATCAATTGCTCGTCATTCCTGCGTGGACGTAACTCTGCCATTCAGAGAAGGCGTTCGTGAAGTGGGAAAACGCCTTCCCGTCTTACGCAACGGTATTTTGTTCAGGTCGTGGTAATTGTCAGAACACCCATCGTATTATTGTGAATCAAATCACGCTATTCGATGAAGAATAGGTCGCATTGTACAATCGGACACAATTAGAATCTTTGGGTGCATGTCGGAGTTTTCTTATGTGAGAGAGAGATAGTCAGAAGTCATTTTTGACGTGCTCGAGAAAGACAGAGGTTTGGAGAGTGAGTGTGTGCAAGACCGGTTTTGACTCCCTAGCATCAGAAATCTGAGCCAGCAGATTTAGCTTTGTTGTGGATCTGTTTGGAAAAGGACGGAAAAATCTGTTTCCGTGAGAATTAGGCAAACTAGGGCCTAATTCTAGCCACATAGACGTCCCGGTCGGCATTAACGACTTCATAGCAACAGTTCTCCTCCCCAAGACAGTTGTTCAGCAAATTACCGTAAGTGTTGTAATATTGATGACTTTCTTGTTTTTATACATCGAAGTAAAAGGCTGCAGATGATGAAGTTTCGTCCTAATTGTAGTAATAAGACTATTAAGCTGATCCTGGAGATCGAGGCTGATGATTTTTGAGAAGATCAGAAATTTGCATTTATGAAAATAAGGATAATGATATAAGATTTGTGGTAATTTGGAATTGTGGAGATCGAGGTTGGAAAGGAAACAAATTGGAGCATGATATTGCTAGTTCTTTAAAACTGTTAAGGTTTTGGGTCTGTATTTATTGTAGATGGCCTTATGTTGAGACTGGTCCCACTGACTCTACCGATGACTGAGAAGAGTCCCTTGTGTACCACTAAGGAGCATAGACTCTGAACTTGCTCTGCTTGACCAAGCTTTGGGCTGATCTACTGCGGTTTTATTAGACGCCAGATTCAGTGGGCTACAGAAACTTCAACAGATGGTGGACCAATTAATTTTGCTATTTCGAATAATTTCAAATGGATATCAGATGGAATCTTTCTTTTTTATGATTGATGTGATGATCCCAGAGTCACTTGATTTACTGAGTATAATTGAGTTTTCATGACTTAATCACAGACCTGTAAATAATTCTGTAAGAAGTTAACTTTCTAATACCATATCGAGCTCGTGTTGTAAATATTGGAGTACAGAATATTGAAATTCTAGAAGACCGTTTGATCTTGTTATTTATTTTGATTGTCGGTGCATCCTATAGGATTCGGGGCTGCCATTCCTACTTGTGAATAGCCAAATGTCGGAGTGGCGACACTCAATACAATTGCCAGGCCCTTGTTCGTTTTAATTAACTCACTTCTTTTCCCGAAATAATTCAGTATCGCATTGAAACAATATCAGATATTAGATAAATTTACCAGTCCCAAAAAATTAGTCCCTCCAGTAAGAAAGTGCGCCAAGGACCCTTCTCTCAACGATGCAGAGATGCGTGTTACAAATTTGGAAAGTACAATGGGGACTCTGATTGAAGCAGAAGCAAACTTTCAATCACCGGTAGGCCCACGTTTTGCTCTGACGAAACAACAAATCAAACTGGGGCCGATGCAAATTAGCCAATTCATGGCGGACATGATGGAGGCGCGCCAGTTAAAGTTGGTAAAGTTTGAGCAGACGCAAAAGATTTTACCAAAACCAAATAGCGCCCTCTTGTTTTGTCCGTCACTCTTCAATTGGGCTCAGGAACCGGGACCAAATACTTGCAGGGTGCAACTGGCAAACAAAACTCTGCTTTCGTGCTTTTCTCGCTCTCACTTGTGACATTGTACAAGTAGAAATAAGGGAATAACTATGTGCTTTAAGACCGGCTCAGGAGAATGGATGCAAACATAAATGTTCAGTTTCCTGAGCCGACCCCTTTGGTTTAAGACCGAGCGGGAATACTTTTCAATCAGACTTTGCAAGAAGTCAGTGTAATGATTGATTCCCGACGATTTTGTTCCAGAATTTTACTTTCATTTTCCCTAACACCCCTTCCATGTGTATGTGATAAATTGTCCAAAAGAATTTCCTTATATGAATTCGGTGCGCGTAGTACACACAGACTCTCGACCAATCAGAATTTGATTAAACTGTCAGGTATCCAGGTGCCAGTGCGTGATTTACCCAGCAGCATTATCACTAATCAGCGGGCATTTTCAGCATCAGAAATAAGGACTACATACACATGTGCGCATTGGCAATGAGTGAAATTCTTATGGGCTTTTACACGGTCAAGTTGAACGTTATATTTATGAATCATTGATGGCAGAGACCGTCAAATAACATCACACAACCCCCTTGCCCCAGTACAATATCATGACACAAAGAAAGCAAACAAATACATGTACATTGTGCATAATGTAGTGCAAGATCGGTTCGGGTCATCTTTGAAAAGTGTTCTAGAACCGTGACGGGCTTTTTTACAGTGGCTCATTGCATGGTTCACCACTGTTGTACATACATGTAGTTTGCGTAACTACTCGAGAACCGGCCCAGAACCGCTCTTAAACCTTAGCCTAAACCTCTTACACAGGAAGCTCCGTACCCTTTTCACTCAGTCAAGCAAAGGTAGTTTTCCATTGCACTTACTGCTGCACACTTTCTGCTCGCCTAAAAGCCCTTGCAGTGAGTGAAACTGGCACGGTATTCTCGTGAAACCATCAGCACTCGGGTAAATATGCCAGCCTTCATATTTTCAACTAGCCCCTGCAAATTTTTGTATGTATACGTATTGCATGTATATCGCAGAGTTGATTTTTGTCATCTATGTAATAATGTCTCATTACATGAACGTTCCATTGACGTTAAGGTGTGGCTTACTTTAATGTTAAATTTTAACCAAAAATGCCACTTTCGTGACTAAAATGATAATCCTTAGTGACTCTGGCCAAAAGCTTTAGTGACGGTATACAAGGGTAATACCCGTATAAATTGTTCCATCGAGATACTGTGTAGAAGTATCTATCATTCTATAGTGATAGTCATCTAAATGTATTTGTCTCACTGTCAAGAGAATAAACTTACTCTTTGAAATAATTATCGCTTTGGCAGAGTTGCAACGAGTCGTTTGTTTTGTGACTCGACCGAGTCAAATCATTGTCGAGTTAGGCAAAAGAAAAGTCGAGTCGAGTATTTAGCTCGAGTCAATTCGAAGCATGAACATTACCACAAAACAAAGAATAGAAACGAGAAAAAGTCATTTCTCGTCACACCTCAGGGTTATACTACGTGTGATCACATATGTTACTCCCATGCCAGTGATCCTGACGAGAATCCTTTGCAATTATGATAATCTACAAAAGGCATGTTGCGTGCGCAATTGATTTCAATAAGCAGGGCTCCTGGCACAGGAATTAACAATGTTTCAACCATTTTTGAGACAGGGCCGGCTGCACTGAAGGAATTGTTTCCGAAAAGACTGTCAAAGAGATGTTTTAGTAACCAAGCACTTTTGTAAAGTTCATTTTGCTATTTTAATCAGCCAGGGTTACAGTTTCAGATGTTTTCTTCCTTCTTGCAAGCTATTTTCAAATAAATGCAAAGGTAAGAATAATTTGATGAGTTGGCTGCCATGTCACCAAGTGAAAGTTTCTTTCCTTTGTACATACTTGAAGCATATTCTGAAGTTCGCTGAGCTTTTTATGCATGTAACGATGATGCTTTACGATGCATACTCAGCATCGAAGTGGCAGCTTGTAAATAGTATAATGTTTTATGTTTTCAGTTTCGTGTTTTCAAAATAAACTGAAAATTTCGAAGTGCACAACAGTTGTGTCCCTTTTCTCGAATTGTATACTATTAAAAATGAACTTCAGTCACACCAGCTAGACAATTATCGTATATAGCACAATAGAGTGTATGCATCACTTGACTAAACGAGCCACTGCGTGGTTCTAGTGCACCCTGCTGGCGCGTACCGTACACTGGACCTAATAATTTAAGTCTCTGCAGTTCACCACTCACAGTTATTCAGATGCTATGCATTGCTATGTGAATTTTTAATTCAAAAGTTGCAGGTTGCTGTAAAGTGTCCTTCGAAAACGATGCAAACACATGACACCAGCTGAACAAGCAAGCAGATACTGTAGAGACCTTGCAAAGTTTTCGTTTTAAGGTTTCCAGTCACCCATCTTTGGCAGCCTCTCATTGAGTTACCATACGAGCTGGGGACACCATGTTTTTTGAGATAAGTCCTCAGGATGGGTGCTCAGTGGGGCTCTGGTTGTGGTAATAAAGGCTGGTATGCCGTCCTCTGTGTCCATGTCGATTGGCTGCTATGGACAGGACTCCTCAAAGGTCTAGGAGTGCTGCTGCCGACTCTTCAAGAGCAATTCACGGCTGACACGTGGATGATTGGCGGATTGATAGCAACTGTAACTGGTGCTGGCAGTTTCGCAGGTATACATTGTTGCCGTTTGGGCACTATTGCTTAATCTAACGGTTACCGGGGGTGCTGTCATTTGTCTTTAATTTTTTCTGTTTGGCTACACTACAAGCGCAGGCCATGAGAAAAAAATACAATTCACAAAGTTTTAAATTTGTGATGTAAACCTAGAAACAGTAAATTAAAAGTATTTTTAACAAATAGGCCGACTAACAGACAATATCCCCCGTTCTAATATTCATAAAGCATAGGCCTATGGTTTATTTTGTGGCAAAAGTCGTTGCCTAAAAAGGATGGGTTATCTTAACATTGACCGCCCGTGTAAAATGACATGGGCAATGTTTTTAAAATAAAAGAGAGCTCTAAAGATTTGCGACAGGAGGCGTAGTACTTGGCAGACTGACAACAGACAGGTCAAAGTTGATCAGTAGATTGGTTCTGTGTAAAAAAAAATGCTCCAAATATCTCTAAAGGGGACAAATTTGGGAATCAAACTGATTTTTATTTTGTGAAGATTTCCCACTTTCCCTAGACTTTATGAGGTTCTGACTATGATGAGGGCCGCTGTATTAAGGAACTTGGAATCGGCCCAGTGGTGTTTAATTAGCCCTCTCCGGTGTTGAAATGACCACGTGGTGTTGAATTGGCACCACATGGTGTTGAATGTACACCGTGAGCAGTGTTATGCCAACACAGTTATAAGTGTGTTGGAATAGCTTCGTCCAGTATACACAATTAAAGGTGCCATACGATAGACAATATAGCTGTAGCTTTCCTCAGAAAAGCCACCTAATCTCGTGGCATACAGTCTCACAATGACCCCCTATCTACGAGAAGGTAGGTGCTAATTACTCTGTGATAAAATCCTATGCAGGTCCGTTATCCAGACCGTTGGAGGTGTTATTTGGTACCCGCATCGTGGTCACAGTCTGTGGATTCCTCTTAGGGGCGTCTGTCATCGTCTCGTCCTTCTCGACCAGCGCTATCCAGATGACACTTACCCTATCCTTAATCGCTGGTAAGTGCTTCTTTGCTTTTAATCCGACATTCGTTATCAGGCTGATGAGTTACAATAAGTGCTCAGTTTCCAGGAGAGTAGCGACGCACAATGGCTTCAAAATTTCATAATGTAATTTTCCTCTGTCCTCACTGGATTCAATATGTTTGAATGCAATTTTGATGATTCCTCATGGCTTCCCTTTGTATTAAAGAAGCTGTGCGAAACTTTGACATTCACTACACACAATGCAAACGATGCTTTGCAGCAAGAGGACTTTCTTCTGAGGATTTTGTGAAAGAGTACTGGTCCTCACAAACGCTCTCGGCTATATGGCATTGCCTTCGAACGAACTAAGTAAAGGGGTTTTTAACTGCACTATTGTGTGAACAGTGTTCTTTATATATGCAGGTCCTTGCTTGATGATCACCAGTATTTTATCACGAGCCATGACGGGTCGTTATTTCACCACAAATTACGCGACAGTGAATGGCATTGCGACTACAGGACACTCTGTGGGCTTGATCGCCATTGCTCCGTTGACTCAAGTGCTTTTAGACACCTACGGTTGGCGAGGTGCCTTGCTACTGCTTGGGGCTATCAGCACGCATCTTGGTGTGTGTGGCCTCCTGCTAAGACCTCCTACGCCATCAGCAGAGGGGCGGGACGACTACCTACCTATCAACTCAAGTGAGGTGGAGCCACCACCGGACGAATCAAGAAGCCTTAAGGCTCAGAAGGAATCCAGATTCCGTATACTGAAGAACGCCGTGAAGGCTCAGGGGAATCTTTTCGGCTGCACAGTTTGCAACCGCGCTGCATTCTGGATAGCGACAGTTGTATACAGCGGCAATGCCTTCGTGGTCACTCTCTGGCTGATATACTTTGTCGCTTATGCCGAGTCGAAAGGTTTCTCTGGGTACGAGGCCGTGACGTTCACTACGGCCGCGGGGATAGGGAACGTAGTAATCAAGATTCTTGTTGGATTGGTGGTAGATCGAAGCTGGCTCAAGCTGCGATTAGCCTTGGTAATTTCAATCATGACTTGTGGCTTGGCTCTATTCACGCTTCCGTGGGTGAACTCCTATTGGTTAATGATTGTCAACGCCATCATTTTCAACGGCTTCGCTGGAGCACAATCATCACTTAGTGACATATACATCCGGGAATTGCTGGGGGCCGAAGACCTGGTTCCCGCTTTCAGCTGGGTGGGTCTGCTATCGGCCACTATCCACATTGCTTTCGGATTCTTCCCTGGTAAGAAATACTGTGATACTTACTTGGTTATTGTCTGGTGAGAATAGTGAAAAGGAAGAACCTCTTTTTAAATTCTACAGACAACCACGTGGCTATGAGTAAGACTGTATTGAAAAGTTGGTATGATATTATACGTACAGAAGCTTTCGAAATTGATTGGAAATTCTATGGCAGGTGACTGGAATGTTCTACTCACATTGAACCATGAACTCCACGATTGTAAACTGCATGCCCTGCAAAATGTTTCGATGTACCTTGGACCTTTTGTCTTATTGGACGGGCGACTCACAATAGTGCGCCACCAGGAGTTTGCAACGCGTTGGCCAGTCTGTCGACCCAATGTGCGTTTGGAAAGGGTCGAGAAATTTCGCGCGATGTGATTGGCCAACGCGTTGCAGACTCTTGGGGGCGTACTATTGTGAAGGAATTATGTGAAGGAACTATGAAGGAACTATGTATTAAGGAACTAGCTTCCCTGTAACATTGGCTGGATCTAATTGGAGCAGGTTAAATGTGGTTTAAATTTTAAAACTAGCCTCGTCCCTTGCCAGCGAGACTGTCTTCAACCAAACGTACACACACAGTGACGTTCGGGGCATGCAGCTTTCAAATGATTGAAATGAAACATTTCTCTTGTACCTTCTGTCCTTACCATAAATAAAGATACGCGACGTAGTCTTTGTCAAGGACTTCATTTGAACCATGGACCTGTTAACTAATAAATCCATATTTATGTACGCATGCGCATTAATTGCCATGCTGGCTAATACCGTAGTTTTATAGCTTTCCTTCGGTGCTCATGTTCATATTCTCTCAGATTCTCCACAGTTGCTTAAAAAAGAAATCATAATATATTTGTAACGCTGACTTTAAAGGATTTTGTGATGTACAAAGTAAGGAAATCCGATTAGCTTTATGCCTAACACAAACGAATGAGGTCATTTAAAGAATAATCAAGGCTCCTCTGTGAGCCTGCAATTAATAACCGTGTATTTCTGGGTATACTAATAGAAATAACTTTTGAAGCAAGATATGGGACGGAGAGAACCCTACCCCATTTGCGTTGGTCATAATTGTTTTATACTGGAATCTCAGGAACACTTTTCAGACATCTAGGGGGGAGATGTTAGTTAACTATAGTTTAGAGTATCTATATAAGGTTTGGACATGTAGGGGGTAACCCCCCTATCCCATACCTTGCTGGATATAATAATGTGCTGTGCAAATGCACCGATAAGCTCTTTTCGCACTCCCGGTTTGTTCAGGCTTCACTTCTGCGATACAAAGCGCTTGATTGTACGTCAGAAATACATTTGTGGTGAATTGACATATCTTCTGCCACCAAGGAATAATACTGATCAAGTTTGGCTGTGGCAAAACAGTCCTCTGTACTTAGAATTTTAAAAGGTCAACACGACCAAGATTGACAGAGTTGAGCCCAAACTTTGGAAAACCCTATCGGCCCGCGATTTAGCTTACATAAAATTGTACATGTTACCCCCTCACTGTTTTTCGGATTGCTTTTAAGCTCATATAGAAAGGAGCCTTGCTGATTTATATCCACCTCCGGCACTTTGGATGAAAGAACATTTGAGGTCTTTCCCCTGTACTCCTTTAAACCATTTAGACAACAAAGCAAAAGTTATGATGGTTTTAGGTGGTTTTTGGAGGGAAAAATGAGCATTTCTGCAGCACCTAAAAGAAAATGGCGTTAAATTTGCACCTTAAAACATACGCTTATTATCTCCATGCATGGTCATTTATAGGCTTCTCTGCGTAATTGTAAACTGAAAAAGAAAAAGTCCGTTACACGAGTCAACAATTCTACATACAGTTAAATATGAAATGTTCCACTCTCCCGGCGAGATACACCCCTGATTGTAAAATTTATCTTGCCCACATTTCAGGTTGGATATTCGACCAGACTGGAAGCTATGACAAGGCTTTTATCGTATTCGGTTTCATCTTGCTTCTGCCGTTGGCGTCGCTGTTGGTGGAAAAGCTACTCAGCCGACGGAAGGCGTGACCACAACCACATCTAACTGAAGAGTTACTTTCTTTTCAACTCCATTCAAATATAAACCATTGGCTGTGCAACCATGGAGGACGAACACAGGAGTTACAACTCTGGCCGTCAAAGTTCTCGACGATCATCGCCGCCCGGCCGGATGAACAATTATAGTAAATATTCCAAAAAATGCCTGATTACTGCCTGCAGCTTAGCCGGACAAGTGGGGCCAGTAATATCAAAGCAATATTAGCGGTGTTTTCTTTTCAATTACATGCAACCACGCGCACAGCTTATCGCAGTGTATTTTTTTTAAGATTTTGATCCGTGGAGGAAGGACACAGGAGTTTGAACTGCCCGGCTTGCTGGCACTGTATGTCCATAGCCAGAGCGCGGCGATTGCTTGCCACACACCACCTGTTTCCATGTGCCGCATGATAATCGCCACAATTAGTCGCTGGTAATCTTAATCCTTAAAACGTTGTGTACTGTAGTATAGGCAGTTGAATATTCATGCATCGTTGGTGCTTGGTACGATCTGACATCAGATTTAACGCTTGCGCAGTAGCTTTTATTAGGCTGTGTTCCCGAAGTGTTCATGTGCAGTTATTACCCTAAACATCGAACGCTTTCTTCTGTACCTACTTTTGGAATAAATTACCAAGTTGTTTATGAGATTTGTGTTTTGTTTGAATCATTTTCATTACAGAATTTAC